CCCTGCAACACCTAGCCTTATGAGTAACAGCACATACCATTACTGTCCTACAGGCACTTGGCAGCTCAGTTCAAATGGTGAAGTTTGGGGCTTATGTGATTTGATACCTCATACGTAATCTTCCAGGAAATGGAAAAGAAATTGTAATATTTTTAGGCTGTGGCTTGTGCAACGTAACTGTGGTGAAATGCAGAGATCTCCTGCTTGGCGCTTCCAAATTTGAGTCAGTTTGCAGAGAAAAGCTGCCAAAATATCAAGCCTCTATTTGGCCCATTCTCTGAGTGTCACACCGTGTCTGTTAGGACTGTTAGGGTCACAAATTTCATTCAGAAATAGAAGAGAATTAAGATTCCAGTTCAGAGTTGTAAAAAACAAGAATTGCTACTAGGAATCTTTATTTCCCGGAAACTGTAGCAATTAATACTAACTACGGGACCAAATATGCTTGCATGTATATTAATATTGTGGATGTAAGTTGAAGAAACAGGGCACATTAGCCTTTTCCTAAGTAACTGTTCTTGGCATTTCGACTGTTGCTCTGCATCTCTTTATTTTGTTATGCACCTGAGATAAGAGGAATGCCATTAAGCACAGATGACACGGCAGGATGAATAGGTGAAAGCATGCACTTAAAGTGAGGAGACGTGGATGGAGCTTGCATGGTATCCCCATGACTGCTTCCCACCGTGATGTGTCACCCTTCTTCCTCTCCAGCACTCTGGGGAAACATCAAGGACGTTGCCTGCTGTTGAAATTACAGCTAATTCAGCCTACAGACGTTTTAATGCTGAATGCTCCCTAATTTCTGGTTAACTTTGCTCCTTCCTCACCTTCTGTGGCAGCTTTAGAACTAGTCTGGGACTTGCTAATGAGCCCCCGAAGCTGCAGGGAGAGCTTGGTTCCCTTTGCTCCTATCCCTTTCACTCTGTTACTAAAATAAAAATAGAAATAAAATCCAAAGAGACAACATAATTAAGGAACCAAGTGTTGCACAAAACCAGCAGATTTACATTTGTTCAGGCTATTACTAGTATCACTAGGAATAAATAGGATAATTTATACCCTCCTTTGAAAATCAGCTACCCCCTTATCATCTTATTTCTAGACTTTATTTTTGTGTGACTAGAGAGAAAAAAGTTTCGAATCACATTTATTTTTAACTTTTCAAGGCTAGTTTCACATGATAAATGTGGAGAATTTAAGTCTTTAGCAGCATGTAAAAAGGTGAATAAATTACTGTTCGATTAGACTATAAGAAATTGCTGAAAAGTACTTGTAATGAGATAATTGCAAGTGCCAAAACTGAGTAACACTCACTTCTGGCAGCAGCTTAGTTAAACATGTGGTTAATGATGTTATACCAAGAACAGGTATGTAAAATATTCAGCTGCGCCAGCAGTAAATATTAATTTTATGTGACAGCAATAGTGTCTTACTGAAACTGATATTTGACATGCAAAACTCCTATAATTGTTTTAATATCTTTACTTACTAGTGATTTTAATGATATGGCAAGGATTTTAGGTGTTTGCTGAAACTGCACTACTGTCATTTTCTATCATTCAAACAAAATGTCATTCTAATTCATTTCACTGCAGAAGTCTGACTACTTTTCATACCAATTAAGCTACCACTGTAAAGACTATGTCCCTGATTTGAGGTTTTAGGTTTTATAATTAAAGAACCAAAAGGACAAAGACCTATCTGGAAAACATTTATCAGAACATATAATACAGGTAAGTGTTTAAGTAGTGATTTTGCCATCAGAAGGAAGCAGCTCTGTAAGACCCTGAGTATAAAAATAGAAAAGAAACATGAGACTTTATAACTTTAAATTAATTATGAAACAGCATTACTGATAAAACAGGTAGTGCCTCATGTAGTTGACTGCTCAGTACTTTTCATTACGAGTTTCTTCAATCACTCCAGAAACATTACCCTGTTCTGAACCATTGAGGATGAAGTTTCCCATGCTGAGTGTTTGCCTCGGGCTGGAGTATTCTGGGAAGCTTCTTTGCAAATTCAATCATTCCAGAAACAGTGCTCTAGAAAAAATAAGTTTCTGTGCTGAACCCACAAGTTGTCTGCTGGGAACATCTAGTGCTCTTGGAGCAGGAACTGCAGAAGGATGGGCTTGCTGTCACAGGATAAGCCTCGGATTAGCTGCTGCGATTTGCCCAAATTTGTCCCCAGTACAGAGCACGCTCTCAAGTTACAGCTTGTCAGCTGAGCTGGGGTAATCAGCATACGTTCCAGGTCGGCCGAATAAAACACGCTCATCTAAAGCACCTTTATGGAAGCTCCTGCTCAAGTGTTGCTCTTCCCGTTGCCAACACACAAACACGCACCGCCTGAGCTGGAAAGCAGCAACTTCCCGTGCATGGAAGTTCCTCTCGGCATATGACCACTCCTAGAAAAAAACAAGGCAAAAATAAAATAAAATAAAATAAAATAAAATAAAATAAAATAAAATAAAATAAAATAAAATAAAATAAAATAAAATAAAATAAAATAAAATAAAATAAAATAAAATAAAATAAAATAAAATGCAAGGAAAAGAGCTGACAGTGATTTTGCCACAAGTGATTCTCACTGCGGACATATCTGGGCCCTGTAATCCTTTATTGGCACCTGAGTTTCCATTCATCACCTTCCAGGGGTCTTCCAGGGGTTCCAGGCACTGTGGGAGCATCCATAGCTTCAGACCTGGGAACAGCCACCATCAGTAAAAAAGCCTCAGGACATAAATGGTGGGAGACATCTGAGTGAGAGACACGGGGCTGCTTCCCGCACTTTAAATAACACTGCAGTGCTTCTGTATGTTAAAACCTTTCTGCTGTGACTGTGATTATTAATTTAGCCATCTCCGCAGTTTATAATTCAGGCAAATTTAGGGTAAGGCGCTTCGCAAGCCTTGGTGTGCAGTTTCCAAGAAAAACACCTGAGGAAAAGAAGACTCACAGCCATGGAAACATTAAGCCCTATCCTAAGCAGTTAAATGAGTTCAAAATCTGTCATGATAGGATCCACTTCTTAAATCTGCTGCTTAAATCCTGCACAAAGTGCTGCTGAACCCTCAGAAGCCGAAGGCAACCAGTTAAGCAGTCTCATCCAGGCTTGCAGGAGCATTATTAGGTATTAGGAGACTTGCCCTGCGCTTGCCACCCGCAGCTCCCGATCCCAGCGCTCCTGTCTGTCCCTCCTGAGCTGATGGAGGGGCAGGGAGGAGCAAACCCAGCAAAACACCCACCGGTCACAGCACGGAATCACAGAGGTTTCCCCCGGCCTCATCCTCGGGGTGAAACCCGCCATCAGGGTTGATCCCAGGGGCAGGCAGGGACGGGCCGTTCAATGCAGGGACACTGTCCCGCACACGGGGACGTCCCGGATTTGGGGGCGTCCCGGGGCACCCGCGGGAGCAGCCTGCGGGGCAGAGGCCCCGGCGGCGCCGCGAGGCCCGGAGCCAAGAGGCCCTTTCGGACACAGCAAACACAGAAGAGCAGAGCAGTGAACTATTTCTAGGGTGCAATAGTATTATAGGGTACATACATGTAATATTACATCTTATCTATAATAGGCTATATATTTAAAAAAAATGCAAAAAACCTGCTCTTTTTCAAGCCTGGCAGGGCTGGACCCCATGGCCACCGTGCTGCCCTCCAGCGCAGGTGCCCACCCCATGAGCCCCCAAACGCAGCCAGATCCAGGCTCCAGATGCCCCTAGCTGCAATTCCAGGTGCCCAGGTGCCCATTCCCAGATTTCAGTGTCCATTCCCAGATCCCCAGTGCCAGATCCCCACTCCCTGATCTCTGATCCCTAGTTCCTAGTCCAAGAGCCTCAGACCCCAGGTATCTGAACCAGAGCCCCAGACCCCAGGTACCTGAACCAACATTCCAAGTCCCCAGTCCCAGATCCCACTGCCTGGTCCCAGCAGTGACAGATTCCCACTTCTTGACCCCAGCTCCCTGATCCCAGCTCCCCACCTCTCCATTCCCTGATCCAGCAGCGCCAGTACCAGAAAGCTGCTCCAGGATCCCCAGCTCCAGACCCCAGTGGCAGCTCACAAATTCCCACTTCCAGACCCCAGTGGCTGCTCCCACATCCCCAGATCCCCACTCGTTGCTCCCAGCTCCGTAGTACCGATCCCAGAGCCCAGTCCCAGCTCCCCGGTGCTCAGTCCCCGCTCCTTGTTCCCAGCTCCCAGTACCGGATTCCCGCATTCCCAGCGCGCTCCCTTTCCCGCTCCCGGTCCCGGACCCCAACTCGCCGGCCCTGCCCCAGCCCCTCCCCTCCGCCCTTAGCCCCGCCCTGACCCCGCCCCTC